AATATTTATCTTAGGTGAAAGATTAATTCACATGGTCTTGACTAACTTAAAATCAATACGTGTTAGCATATTAAATTAGGCCTTAGCATGCTCTTCAACATAGTTGAATATGAAAGTAATTGGAGGTGTTTTGAAAATTAGTAATTATTAATTAATTTGATTAATTAATTTGCCCCGAGTGCACTATTCACTCCATTCGAATTCCGACTTGATATTCTTGATCTACATGCCATATAGCTTCACATATATTTGATTTAGAATATTCGGTGAGGTTTTGAAACCTTTCATTTAATTAATTTCCTTATTTAAGATTTAATCCTCATGGTGATATACAACTTGGAATTGAATTGTGGCATGTTAGAAAATTAAGCTTTGGTGTGGTTGTTCACATGTATTAAATTGGGATTAATTGCATGAAAATTGCAACCTTTATTTTATATTTAACTTTAGTAAAAGTTTAATTTGCATCGGTGTAACTTGTATGAAATAAGCTTGAAATGTGATATTACATTAGTCCTTGGCATGTTCTCTAAGATATGTTAAATTGAGAGCATTTGGTTAAATTTGAAAATCTAGAGATTTTAATTAAAGGAATTAATTAAAATCTATTTTGTGGTCCCATTAGCTTAATTAAGGTTTTAACTTGATGTTTGTATTGGCTATGACTTGTTTACTAGTATATATTAATTTGGGACTATTTGAAATTGTTTTAGAACCTTGGGATTTAAATTAGCATGATTTGATTAAAGTTCTACTTTGTTGTTCTAGCAACCTAATTGAGTTTTAGAATGGATATAGGTGATGACCATACCATGTCCTTTAATATGTATTAAATTGAGGTTATTTGGAATTGAATCGGAATCTAGAGAATTTAAATGTGTTTATCTATTTAAATTCTTTCAATTTGCTCCATGATCTAGTTGTATTTTAGAAGTGGTTTCTATATTCAAATCATGGACTTAGATTTGTTGTATATTCATTTGGTTATGTTTTGAACATTGGATAACATAGTTGTTATGTTTGTATTCGTGATAATATGTTTTCCTTAGTGAATATATTGTTGCCTTGTGTAATGATTTGCACACTTCGTGTTTAACATCATTCATGCATAGCATGTAACGAATCGCACACTGAAGATTCGACATTCATCACATCATATTAGTTGTGGATTTAGAGCATGTATTGTATAGGTTTCCAAATTTGGTTGTGCTTAGTAGATAGTTGATTATCTTGCATATTCCTGTTGATATACGCGTTGTTGCACAACTTGTTGATTTTGGAAACTTGGGGATGTCGTTGTTTAACTATGGCTAGGACGTGGTTCTAGTACGGGGGATAGTCCCTCTATATAGTCTAGTGCGCACATAGGGAGGTTACCCATGGGCTAGTAACCATAAAATAACTATGTTGTCGGTCTGATCCAGCGTGATGTCCGAGTATCCACTTTGTTTGATTTTGCATTTCATTTTCAAGTTGATAACTAGATGATGTTGTAACTTGTTGTTTCTTATTTGTCGTTCCATTTTAAGTTACAAGATGTTAACTTTGCGAAATTATGCTTTATGCGTTGTATTGGAAGTTCCAATGTTGGTTAAATTGCATCGATATTGAAAATCGTGTTTTAACGTTCTAATAAAGCTTAGGATTGATCCTATTGATTCATTTATAACATAGACGTTAGGTGACATGAACCACTACTGTTATTTTGTGCTTTAGATTCTAAGTTGATAGCTTTGATAACTTAAACCTTGTTGCATTGTATAACATGCTCTTTTGTTGTTGAATTACATGGATAATGTGATTCTTGTTAACTTGTATTCAAATATGCTTTTGTCATGTTGTATGGATTACTCTAGACCTAGTTCAATTGTATTGAAAATGCAATTCATATTAATCTATGCTCAAGCATTCTTCTTGTCGTGTTATTTGGATTATCCCAACCATGATTCATTTCGTACACGTATGTATATCATGATTCTTGTTGCTTAGACTCTATGGTAGCTTAGGATGCTCCCTGAGTCTCACTTGGACATAGACGTTAGGTGGCATGAGCCCCTTTAACATGTTTCACCTTAAGGTGATAAATTTGTAAAATGCTAGGTCGATGCATGCTCATCTCCTACGAGTAGCTTTATGTTACTCACCCCTACGATACTGGGGTATATTTCAGGTACGAAGACTTGGTTCGTGAAGCCTAGCATTCCTCGGATGTCGTGTAGCTTTCAAGTTTCCATTTCATGCAAATGTTAGCATGAAATGTCATTTTGTAGACTTATATGTCAAAATATGTATATTTGATTCCATGTATGTAATGTGTACATAAGTGCACTCCTTTCAATATATTTGATATGTATGAGATGAGGCCGGAGGCCAATGACATGTATATTGTATTTTATGCAACTTTTTAACTTCATGAAATGTTATGAAAAACTTGAAAAATCGCAAGTCATTGGTTCACCATAGTTGAATCGGGTGTGGGAATTCCGTTTTCATTCTTTCATAGGGTCTTATAAACCATGTTTGAAGTGTGGCCAAGGGCCAAACGATCATTTGACCCCGTTTTGTATTTTTGGATTCCAAGTTTTCATTCCAAGTTTCATTTTTGCCTTTTTGCCCGTTGGGGGGTCGAATTTTGCATCAGCTATATTTTTAAGTCGTGGACCATTGTAGCATGTCCATATAGGTAAGTTACGTTTGCGTGCATGGTCGTTTCCGGGCAAAACCTTATCGTTTGTATTTTGAGCCTCTTGTGAATTCATTTCGTACTTTTTTTGCATATTCTGATCTAGGGGCATTATAGACTTTTCACGGTGGTTTTATTTTCTTCTTTCAATATGGTTGAATAGAAAACATGATTTTAGGGGGGGTTTCTTTTCCGTGTTTTTCCAAAAAATGTTGTCTTGGCATCGAAAATAGCCTACGAAGTTCAGTTCTCAGTTTTCAAAATAGCAGTTTTTTGGACCTCCATGACCAGATTTCATGGAGGGGCATTTCGGGTATTCTATATTGCGTTTTTTTTTTTAATTCTCTCGCTAGTCATGTAGGAAACTCAATTTTGAGGAGGGTTTCTTCTTTGTGTTTTTGCAAAAAAATTCATCTAGGTCTCTAAATTCAGCCTCTGTTTTGTCTTTTTTTTTGAAAAAAATCACATAGCAGCTTTTGGGCTGCTATTGGCAGCCATGTGTGCACCCAGCGCGCGCGCGGCGTGCATGGGTGAGCGCATAGGCGTGCATGGGGGCTGTCATGGCCCCTTGTCGGGCCTCCGCGACGTCAAATCTTCTTTTGGGCTTTTCTCCTTCGTTCGGACTCCGATTCAAGTGAATTTTTTTTTTAACTTGACTAATTTTTCACTGTCTTTCCAACGGTGTGCTCGGTTGTACTCGGTTCTTCCTGGATAATTACCAGTTTACCCTTTTTGCTTTAAGTGCTCGTTTTTCTTCGTCATGCCGTTTCTCCTTCGTTCGGACTCCGAATCATACGATTCTTGAGTCCATCTTGATTAGTTTTTCGTTGTCCTTCCAGCAGTGTGTTCGGTGGCACTCGAATCTACAGTTTTTGAAAATGACTATTTTGCCCCTAGGGGCTTATTTGTCATATTTTCGATCTTTTGCTTCCGCATCAGTTCTTGTTGAGTTCCACGATCTCATGGAAGGTCACTTTGACTTCTTAGAGTCTTATTTTCTATTTTTACTTTCGCATTCGGATCCGTTATCGGATCATCCTTACGCTTCATCACAGGACACGCTGGCTTAAAAATCAGGGTCGTCACACATTACAACTATCATTTTATTAAATAATTAACTTATTATTAATTTTTTACTATTTATAATAAAACTTTTTATACTCGGTTTGAAAATTTTTACTATACAAACAAATTCTTTTTATATAGTATATTCATGAAAATTTATTAAATTACTTGAGTAAAAAATACGTTTTTTTTTTTTTTTCTTTTCATGCAATATATTCAGACAAAATTAAAAAATTATTAAAGTGTTTTAAAATTTTCTACATACATTTTTTATTTAAAAAATTAATTTCTAGAATTAAAGGTAACTTTATACATATTTAATGGAGAATATGTCATAAAATTAGTATGATTTTTTTTTTTTTTTTTCATAACTTGTTTTAATAAGAAAAAAGAATTAAATGTAATTTCATAAGAAATAACCTTATGGTCATTTAATGAAGGCATTGTGACAAAAATATAGTTATTTGTAAATTTGAACTTAGTTAAGAGTATTATATATATATATATATATATATATTACACTTTATCATATATATATTAGCATGTGACCTTAAACAGAGCTGAATACGAACATAGGATTCTTGCAACTAACTCCAAGTAATTAAAAAATTGGTTTGGTTGTCATTAATAACCTATATATAACTGGAAATAAAATAGTAGTTCCTAAATAAATTTTTGTCAAAAAAAAAATGTAAAATAATAAAATCTCTCATTTAAAAGTGCAATGATGGCTACATGAGTCATTTAAAAAATCCATAATTTTTTTTTTTTTATCATTTTTCTAATTTTTACATTGAATCAATATGATGCATTAATTTTAAAAATATATGATAAACTAAATACTATAATCTTAGAATTAATTTGTTGGTTATCTTTCTTTATAACTCCTTAATAAATATTTTTTCCACCTTAATAGATATTTGGATTTCCAAAAAACGTAGTTTAAGAGAATAAATGCCTCGGTGAATGTGCAACCAATCACCGATCGAACCCTCACCAGAGCGACAGAATTAGGCGCACTACTTTCTTCCCTACGCTTGCCCAAGAGTATATATCATCTGCGGCAACGCCTATCGCTTCCGTAAACCTCATTGAGACACCTCAACCCTAGACCCATTCCACCACATCCACGTGGAATCTAATTCCGTCCGATCATGAATTAGGGTACGAGTACTATACGCACAATAATTCCCACAATGCGATACAGTTTATGCGCACTCTGTAACTCTTCACCGCCAAATTAGCCCTCATAAAGCTACCAGTGGAGGTAAGCTGCTGCAGTCCTCTCTCTCTCTCTATTCTCATCTCTTTCTCTCTCTAAAATTCCTCTCTCAGAGTGGAGGAGGAGGAGGAGGAGGAGGAGGAGGGAGTTACATCGCCGTTGTTAACAAGGTGAGCAATGTGAATATAGGGTTTTTTGAGAAATTTAGATTTTAGGGTTTTTGTTCGTGCGCGAAACGGGGTTTTCGACGACGATTGAGAAATGTTTATAGCATGAAGAGTTATGTTGTTTAAGCCGTACAAGTTTTGATGTTAAATGTTTGTTTCTTTATTTTGTGTTTTATTTTTGTCTGATGATGAAATAATCAACTCCATACGTGTTTGTTATTCTCTTGTGTTTGATGAAATTAGTGATCATGGAGTCACCAAGAGGCTGGTCGAACAATTACGCAACCCCATCTGGACCAACAACGTTTCGGTCCTGTAGTCCCACTGGTATACTCTCTCTCGCTACATTTTTATGCACGCATTACGTGTAGACATATTTCTATATGAATTTTATTTTTTAATTGCTTTATTGTTCATATTAGTTGAAATTTTGTTTTGTTTTTTTTCCCACTTTTCTATATACATGTGTATTACATGCTTATAGCCAACACTCTTATAATGATCATTACACATGTTCTAGTTTTTGTTTTGGGGTGTTTATACGTATTTGCTTATGCACCTATGTTGGTTGGGGTTCAATTGGTAGTCACATGGTTGTGTTTTGTTGTGGGCATATCTCTACCACTGTTGCTTGTTATTGTTGTTTAATAGAAATTTATCGTATACATAATTTATTCTGATGTAGAACATTTTTTGGATTTGTTATTGTGTTGGCCTTGTCCTACTTTTTTAGGATTTCAGCAGATCCACGTTGTATCATGCCATATCATATCCTCGGCTCGATGTTCGTGTTTGTTCTACTTGGGTCATTCCTTATTTATATATCTATTAAATAAAATTTTAGAAATAAACTTCGGTTTCCTCTTCTTTAGAAATCAAAGTTCTGAGTTCTTGATAAGTTCAAGTTCCATGTGCATATCAAGCAACATTTTGTTTGATTTGAAATTTTGGTAAGGGTAGGGAGGCTATGCAACATGCTTAATACGCCATGTAATGCATACATAACATTTTATAGTTAGTGAATATATATCTTTCGTTCGTATTACAGATTTACAGGGGACCTTGAAGCTGTACTGAATGGTATTTTTTGTTGTTTTTACCGTTGCCCTCGTGGTTGGCCCAAATTGCTCTACTGCTGAGTCATTTTAATACATTTAAAAAGGAACAATGCTTGCCTCAGGCCGCATAAGAAGGAACTCCCTTCTTATGATGAGGTGGCCCAATAAAACATCAACAAGTGTTAAAATTTTAAAATAAATTTTTTTTATGAGTATAGGGAATAGAAACTGATCATCCCCTCTTTCTCTCTCACGCAGCTATCTATATACAAATACATATATATATATACATATATATATGTGTGTGTATATATATCTATATATATATATATATGTCTGTCCATGGCTGCCACCTCCAATGTCCGCCCATGGCCACCTAGAGTTTTAAAACCCATATCCTTTCACCAAATCCACCATATGATCAGGAAAAAATAAAAATAAAATCCACTGCACGTGTATGTAATTCATTTCCTTCCATTATCATCTTCTTTTACAACAAACCCACATCTTGATTTCAATCAATCCCAACAATCATTTTTAGTTGCCAAACTCAAGACCAAGTCCTCGCCTACAATTTATGGGTTCGTTCTTGGGATATGATACTCTCAATGGAGAGAGACGATATTGATTCCCAACATCTCTGTCAATAGAGAAAGACCCATCATGCGCCAAATCTGATCAACACCAATATACAACCTATTTAAATTGGAACCCTTTTGATATCTATTATATTTTGATGTTATAGTTTCACAATTTCCCCTCATCTCCTTCAATTTCTTGTTGCCCCAGGAAATACTGATGACGAGATGGAAAGAGAGAGGAAGGTGGATCAGTTTTTAATTCTATGTGATCGTCATTTTTTTTTCTTTTAAAACTTTAATACTTGTAGATATTTTATTGGGCCACCTCATCATAAGAAGGGAGTTTCTTCTTATACGGCCTAAGACAAGCATTATTCTTTAAAAAGTGCAAATGGCCCAAATGGGGTGATTTGCATTCGTGGGCTTCACCATATTTGCTCTAAAACAATTTAATCCCGTAGAATTATCGACCTTTGTTTTATGTTGTGCTCTAACAATCATTATTACCATCCCCCATGTTGAGTTTAGATGTACTTGAATTGACCATGGATAACTTTTGCATGACTAGTAAACATATGTTCCCTTTGTATATTCTGGTTTAAATTTAACTTTTCATTTTTTAAAACAGATATATATACTCAGGGGCGTAAAAGGATGAAATTACTCTCTAAAGGAGGGTACAGTAATGCGGGTTTTTCTGGTTATTGCAATGGATCTGAAAGGAAGAAACAAAGAATGGATTCAAAAGATACTGACTATACTGATCCATTTGCAATACCAAATCTGCTGGAGGGGCTAGATAGTGGTAAATTCGGAAGTGTGACAAAAGAGATTGAAGACCTTCTGGCTCGGAGAATGCTGCTGGCAAATTCCTACTTTGCAGTTTACCCAAAACTGCAAGGTATGTGCTCAGACTCAGAGAGTAGTCCCAATAAAAAGGCATCAAAAGTGAAGCAGACTGCTTGTCCTTCGGCACATCAGGAGCTGATTGTAATAGAGGACGATAATGATGATAATGATGCAAAAGATGTTCCGAATGTAGGCTTACAAGTTCAAGTTCTTGATTCGGATGAAGAAACTGGAAATCAGAGATCTTTTCAACCATATCAGGAGGTCGTCTTGAGGAGGCCAGCCCCCGCCATTGGATTCCGGATGAAGGAAATTTTTGTAAGTATTTCCCACATTTGTAATTAGAGTTGCAGGTCTCAATAGTTAATGATTAAAATGAAGAATATTTGACACTGTTGTAATCTGTTTTAACGTTGACCTTTCTGTGGACATATTTTTTTTTATAAAAAAACCGAAATCTGTGTGTTAAGTTTTAACATCACCTTTTTGTGGATTTTTTTCCCAAAAGAATGGTCTTTTTTTGAGATAGTTATTAGCATTACAGGTTAGACTTGTAATCCTACTTTAGGTATCAAATTTTGGGTTTGCATAAAGTGCTAAAAGAATGGGTTGATAATGTATTACGACAACTGCAATGTACTATATGCCATTTAAAACGGTGCGGAAGAGTCCCGAAATATGTAATCTGGACTCTTTGCAATTAAAAGTCAATTTTCAGTTTCATAGGTGTGCTTTTTAAAATCTTAGTTGTCTGCTTCTTCTTCTCTCTCTCTCTCTCTCTCTCTCTCTCTCTCTCGATGAGTTGATTTATAAAAATTCAATCTTTTGGTTTTCTGATATTTTGTCCTTCAAATAAATTTCTTGTACGTGTAATAATTATAGAGCAACCTCTTCTTGGTGTAGCTTGAATTGTTCCAAGAAAACACATACCACTTTCTTTACAACAAAGCTTAGTTCTTTATTTAAAAGAATTCAAATAATACTGAATCATCCACTACTAAGATTATGTGGCAAATTAGTGATAGATTTGTGTTTGGAGCAGCAATTCTTGAACTGAGAGCACCCAAGTCTGAGGGCCATGTAGGAACCAGTTACAGATATGTAGTTTTACTTATGCATGTTATAAACTTGTAAGATGGTTTCTTTTACTATCATCATTCACTAGTCTAGATTTAGCAGCTTTTTTCTTCTTTGACTTTTATATGACGTTTGCTGGTAGGCTAATTGCAATATTAAGTTATTTTCTTCAAAATCTTTGTACATGTTTGCCTGTTTTTGATTTGCTGATCCCATTTCTACCACTAATTTCTACACGGTTTGCCGCCATTCCTTCAAATCTAACCACTGTTCACATTAGCATAAAACTTGTAAACATGGTTTCTTGTACTATCAGTATATAGTTTTGCTCATGCACGTTATAAACTTGTAAGATGGTTTCTTGTATTATCAATTTTCACTAGGCTATATTTAGCAGCTTTTTTCTTCTCTGACTTTTATATGACGTTTGCTGGTAGACTAATTGCAATATTAAGTTATTTTCTTCAAAATCTTTGTACATGTTTGCCTGTTTTTGCTTTGTTGATCCCATTTATACCACTAATTTATACACAGTTAGCCACCATTCCTTCAAATCTAACCACTGTTCACATCAGCATAAATCAGAAACTGAATGCCACCGTTCTTCCGAAGATTTTTTTTTTATACCTACTGGAATTTTATGAAACTGAATTATATTTGTGAAAAATTGAGCAGTAGAAAAACAGGGAGGAGGAAGCTGATGAGGCATTGATGAGAAGGAATCGGGAAAAAAATTTGGGAGAAAAAAGGTAATGTAGGGACAGAAAAACAAAAAGTATTGATGGAATTTTTGGAGAGCAAATTGACCTGGGCAGAAAATAGTAATGGAATTTTCGAGTCTGCTACATTTATCAATCTGCTCTATCAGTCTCTCACCATCTCTTACTCATCTCTCTTACATCTCTGGTCACACTCTCCAATTCTACGAGTCTTATCATCTTTATTTCTCATCTCTCTCACCTGCCTTATTTTTCTCCCTTTCTTTCATTTCCCATCTACTCTATGTCGTCTTTCCAACCGTTTGGGCTGGTGTTCATTGGCAACCATTGTTGCTGCCACCAAACTTAGATCGTCTGAAAGATGCATCACCCTCCAATCGTCTGTAAGATATCTGTCATCTTACTTTTGTGGTATGCTAAATTTTTTCTTCTGATTCTAGTTTGTGCACATGTTTTTATGTGACTTTGTATCTGTGCGCATATAGATATTGGATTATATTTCATCTATATGTTTATGTGTTGTATGTACATATATAGATGTACATACTATGTATAGAATGTTTTATTATTTATTTATTTATTATTATTATTATTTTATAAAAAAATATATTATTATTATTATTTTTGAGTTGAGCCAAGTGCAAGCTTGACTGGAAATACCAAACTGAGCTGGAGAAAAACAATCTTCACTTCCTCAGGGCGTCCATGATTAGACAAATGCCTAATTGTAACTTGTTTTTTAATTGAAATCTCTGCTGCTTGGTTTAAATTACCACTGAAAATGAAAGAAATGCACCGCTTGAGATGTCCTTGTCATTGCTTCGATTTTCTTTTCTTTATATCTCAAAATTTTAATGAATTTTATTTTTATACAGTTCCATTGGGGTGGGAGTTATTACCATATAAAGTTAGTATCAATAGTGACTATGAATACGCTTTTCTTCCAACGTTATTGTTTTAATTACAGTTCTACTCTAATATGTTCTATTATTATTATTATTATTATTTTAATTTTTTGTCTGCAAATTGGTTGATACAACTGCCATATTCAGGATGGTGATATTGCTCAAACCCAAACTTTGGGAGAGGAAGATGCAAGGTTTCATGGGGAAACTAAACCAGGGAAAGATAAAGGTGTTTATGTTGGTGTAGAGGATGATATGGAAACTGAGGAAACTAATCACCAAGCTGATGATGGTTTGGGTGATATCTGGATGGAGATGAATTTTGCATTAGAATGTTCCAAGGTATTCTTTTTTTGATTGATTCTGTAGTAGTAGTTGGAAATTATTTCTTTGTCATATATTCATTCAGACTCTTTTTGAAGGGTGAAAGAGCTTATATAGTTGTTCATTTTATTTGTATATTTTGCCAATCTTTTTGTTTTTGATATCATTTACATATATTTGTGGAACACAAAGAGGGATGCTGTATCTTTCAATGTCAACACCATAGTTAGTGGTTGTGGTTGGAATCTCTGATATAATTTTTTGTTTCCACTTTCAAGTTGCCAAACTTGTGGTGATTCAGGCAATCTTTCATACTTTATTAACTTAATTATATTGCATAGTGATACAAAAAACTCTTAAAAAATAGATACTTCTGTTTTATTATTTTCGAACATGTACATTTTTGCATTCTCTACTTTGAAAAGAAACACATTTCTTAGTCAGATATTTGTCAAACAGGGCAGTTGGTAGGAAAATTGAAGACCTAGAAGAGTGTTTCTTCTTAAAACATGATTTCTTTGTTGAGGCTATTAAGTGGATTTGAGGTGTGGTCTGTATTAAATTCAGTAGGAACATTTTAAGAATTTTCTTTGGTTCACTTATCAAATAAATTAATAATGGGTTGCGAGCAAAAACACCCCTATGGTATGCATATAGAGTGTATAACCCCCTATACATTCTAAAAAAATCCCTAACATTCAATTTCCGGGTCACCTGCAAAAGTAATGGATCCTTTCCAATAGAAGCATTAGATGAAGGGCTTGGTTCACTGATTCCACCACTTCCACGTTATGGACTGCTATACTAAATTAGGGTTTATAAGTTCCTATATACATATATATATATATATAAGGGCATTATCGGAAGAGAAAAGTTTGTTTTCGGCATTTTATACCTTAAAAATGTCTTGTGCAATACACATGACTAAATTTTTAACGAAACAGTGACCTCGAGCCCTTCTTTGCTCATTTTTTCAAACTTCACGGACTTATATACAAAACATAAAGGATGGGGGTGTTATTTGCCCAAAATGTAAACATTAGGGGTGTTTTTCTCACTTTGCCCGTAAATAAATAAAGAATTTGATTTGGGTCAAAGCTGTAAGTTTTAAATCTGGAAAAGAATTATATGGAGGAGTTGATGGGGAAAGGCGAGGAGTAAAAATGGTACTTCAGTCCATCCCTTCCCAACACCCTTAATAAACCGGGACCCACGGTGATGATGAGAAAGGATGACACCCAAGTACATATGAACAAGAGGTCAGTTGACTAAAACTAAAAACTGAGCCATCTATTAGAACTTGCTATAGAATATGGAATTTCAAGTAAAATGAGTTGCTCGCAAACAGCTCTTGTTTGTCTTGTTAAGGAACTCCTTTCATTTTGTACACCAGCTACATGGAAGAAGCTTGAATATTTGTTCCAAGCTTCATTACTTGCAACCTTGAACAACACCAAACATTGGTTGTTCCAAGTAGTGAAATTTATTGTAATAGTAGTCAGGTCCTTTATAGCACTTGCGTAAATAAAAAATAGTAGAAGTAGTTGATTAGTACGTAAAACTAATAAACTATGAGCAACATTGAAGCAAGTTTTTAGCATGTTGTAAAATTATAAAACACTTATTTGTACTTGTGGTGCTAAATAAAAGCATTACTTGGTGAGTGAATAGAGCTCGGCAGCCAAGCATGATAATGCAGGTCTAAGTCTGGGGGAAGTCATATTTTGTAGAATTAATGTTGACAATTAGGTATGTAGTAAGCCCAGTTTTCCCACCCCCTCAGTTGAGGGAACTACAATGGTAAATATGCTAGAATTTAATAAAAAGATAGTGTGTGAAATTGTCTATGTACAAGCTTGATAGGCTCAAACAAACTTTTTTTTTTTGATAAGTAATAATAAATAAAAAAAGGCGTTCAATAGGGGACGATAGGCTCAAACAAACTTGTGCTTGGAAATATATAAATGGATTAGTTTGAACATTTTTTAGGCTCAAGTCAAAGCTTAGGCATGCAAACTCATTAAAATATTTAGGGAAAATTACATAGACCTTCCTTGAATTTCAATATACACTGACCTCCCTTCTTGGTTGTCAATTTTTTTTTTTTTTTTTTTTGATAATTAAACAAATTCATTCAAAAAAACGTTCAAAGGGGAACGTGTCCCAAAAACAACAAAGGGATCCTATGGTCCCAAAGAAGAAATAAAATCAATCATCTCCAGGGAGGAACAAAGCCTACCCGAACCCCAAAAACATAAAGATGTAATAAAAGCTGACTTAATAACAACAATCGAGGATTCCTTTCCTTCAAAGGATCTATTATTCCGCTCCCTCCACAAACACCACCATAAACACAAGGGCGCAATCCTCCAAAACACACGAGCATGACCTCCCACATAACACCCTTTCCAAGCCTCCATCAATCCTCTCGCAGATCGAGGCATTACCCGCGAAACCCCAAACATTCCTAGCAAAAGACACCAACAGTCCAAAGCCACTGGACAATGCAAAAGAAGATGATCCACCGATTCCGCATTGCATTTACACATACAGCACCAGTTAACTGTGATTTATCTTTGCCTCCTCAAATTATCAAGCATCAAGATCTTACCCCACACCACTGTCCAAGTAAAGAACGCCACTTTGAGCGGCACCTTAGATCTACACGCTGTTTTCCACGGAAACATAATCTCTGTAGTATCTAAGAGGCATCGGAAAAATGATCTCACTTCAAACATTTCCCGAGAAGTAGGCACCCAAACAAGTGAATCTCTATCTCCGCCACGGGTCTCATGCCAAGACAAACAATCTAACAACCCGCAAATATCGTCCAACTCGCAATCCAGAAACGCTCGCACAAACTGCACATCCCAAATCAACCTCCTGCTATCAAGCTGATAGCAGTTAGCAACCGAGGCATGCCTATCAATAGCAATCCTAAACAATCTGGCAAATGAACAAGCAAGGGTAATCACCACACCAAAGATCCTCCCAAAACCTCTCATCCCTACCATCCTGAACTCTGAATCTGATGTGTTTGGAGAACTCATTCCATCCTTTCTTTCCTAATGGATTTTCAAACTCCGACACTAGCAGGAATCCTCACCAAACACGAGCACCACCTCCCGTTTCTTCCCCAAACCGGCACAAAAATAACCCTCCTCCACAACCTATGACGTTCCACTCCAAATCTCCACAACCATTTACCATGGAAGGCCTGTTAAATGGCTCCAACCTCCTTATCCCTAGGCCTCCGGCCTGAGTCGGCCTACAAACCTGCTCTCAACGAACAAGATGATACTTAAATTCTCCTTGTAATCCACCCCATAGAAAATTCCTCTGAAGCCTCTCAATCCTTCTTGTTTGTCAAATTACATTTACCTCTCTTGAGATTTGTATATAAGTAACCACATACCTCCCCTTTGTTTATGATCAACGACAAAAAATGCTGATGTCATCAATTTTTTAACTTTCAAATTACAATTCTACCTTGGAAGACATGTTAATTGCAATAAAATACAATATATATATATATATATATATATATATATATATATATATATATAAAATAAAATAAGGACAAAAATGTAATTACAAACACGAAAAGTCTGATGGGAAATATTTGTTGATTTCATTCATATGAAGAAGAAGATATTTGTTGATTTGGTACGATCTGGTGTTGTATGATACTTTGCAACGTGATAAAATTGGAAAATATTTTTTGATTTCAGTCATGATACATGATGTGTATTGCTTATCATAGACTTTGATGATGTAGATCTTTTATTTTTCTAATCAGGTGCTTCCTTTTGGCTTGTGATATGAGTGTGACACTGTCTGAGCTTATACTCTCTTAAGCTGATGTCATCAATTTTGTAACTTTCAAATTACAATTCTACCCTTGGAAGACATGTTTATTGCAATAAAATACAATATATATACATCCACACACACATATATATAATAATAATAATAATAATAATAATAAGGACAAAAATGTAATTACAAACACGACAAGTCTGATGGGAAATATTTGTTGATATAGTCATATGAAGAAGAAGAAGATATTTGTTGCACAGTAATTGTTGATTTGGTACTATTTGTTGTCTGATACTTTGCAATGTGATAAAATTGGAAAATATTTTATGATTTCAGTCATGATACATGATGTGTATTGCGTTGTGTATCATAGACTTTGATGATGTAGATCTTTTATTTTTCTAATCAGGTGCTTCCTTTTGGCTTGTGATATGAGTGTGACTGTGTCTGAGCTTATGCTCTCTTAAGGAACGGATTACTTACTTATTGGTGATGATTTGCATTTACAGCAGCAATAGTTGAACTGAGAGCACCTAAGTTTGAGGGTCATGTAGGAACCAGGAACAGCTGTTTAAAAGCTCATGCACATTATAAACTTGTAAGATGGTTTCTTGTACTATAAGGCTACGTTTGGTGTGCAGGAATGAAATAGAATGGAATACTCATTCCAACCATTCAGTTGTTTGGTGCGCAGGAATGGAATGGAATACTCATTCCAATGGAATGAAAATCCATTCCAGGGAATGAAAATCCATTCCATTTGTAAACCTATGGAATGGCCATTCCATTCCATAGTAAGATAAAATATTTTTGTAATATTCCCAATAAGCCTTTAATCACATTCCAATAAGGCAAAAATATTTCGCATTCACCAAAAATCTTTCACATTCCATTTTTCATGTTTATCGATTTTTTTATTAGACGTGGTAAAAATCTTTCATCTTCCCTCTCTTCTGAATATACGCAGAGTTGCCATCAACAAAAAGTTGCAGGACTTTCAACCAAATTGCAAGTATTAATTTCTTTGTTTATTTATTTTTGATAAGTAGGTATTAAATCTCTTTTATCTTTTGAGTATATCACTTTTTTATTTTTCTTTTTTATTATTATTATTTTTTAATTTTATTTTATATTATTTTTGTATCTTTGTGTTGAAACATTTGTGTAATCATCTGGAACCAAAAGTGGACTTGTTTGACTTTTGGACTCTTAGTTAAGTTCATCGTTGGATGATTGAAGAACCTTGCTCGATTAGAAATCTACAATAAAAAAATTTTAAAAAAAAATTAAAAAAAGGGGTATAAAGAATATATATGTATTCTTTATTCATTCCTTCCAGCAAGTTCTTGTATTTTTTAGCCTTTACATCAACTTTTTAGGTTAAATATTCAATCATGGTGAGTTGGTTTAGTTATAATTTTTTTTATTATTCTTTCCTCCAATGAAAAGGGCATTTTTGAGAAAATGTATTCCCTTCCAGATTTAATGATACTCAACCAAACAATAGAATGGTAATAATCATTCCATTCCATAACGATTCACAGTATTACACCAAACATTAGAATGGTAATACTCATTCCATTCCATTCTCATTCCCATTCCATTCCAAGTTTCATTCCATTCCATTCATGCACACCAAACGTAGCATAAGTACTCATTAATCTAGACTAGTTGCACCATTAAGTTATTTTCTTTAAAATCTTTGGAAATTTTGTTTTTCCTACATGTTTTTCTACAATACTGAAAGTGTTATATTGTATATTAGAACTGTTCATGCTTGACTTTAATAATTTGTGTGTCTGTTTAAGTTTTTTGATTTTCTAAAACTGCATGTATTAAGATTTACTCACTATGCTGTTCTGTTAGGATGCTGCCGAAGATCCTTCTTCTGGATACATAAGAGAGGATGGAGAGGAATGTGAGCATTCTTTTGTCCTGAAAGATGATCTTGGTTATGTTTGTCGCATTTGTGGGGTCATTCAGAAAGGAATTGAAACCATAATTGAGTACACAAAGGTATGAGTTTTCTCAACTGAATTTTTTTGTTTATCAGTTTTTTAATTTAATAATAATAATAATAATTATTATTATTATTATTATGATGTTATTGTCATGGAAAATGGTAATTGCTTGGTGGTGTTGTAAAAACTCGGGCTTCCAAGCATGAGAATGCTGGTTTGAGTCTGAGACAGCCACTTTGTGCAAATTATGCTCATGGTTAGTTTTTTACCGATACACGTCTCCCGACACCCTCAGAATGTGATGACCCTTTTAGGTTTTTTGTCATGAATCTGGAGAAGTGCTACCCAAGTTGTGAAGTTTAGATGCTTTAAATTGGATTTTTGAAAGATGCTAGGAATATTCTACTCGTCGTTATATACTGTTTAATGCTTTTGTCTTTCTTTCCCCAACATACCAAATTGTTATGAATTTGCTAGCTGAATAAGAACTTGAAGGTTATAAAAGAAGATGGGTTAGATGAACATGGTATATCAACGGTCAGAAAATGCTATCCCTCATAGTGGGATGTGGACCTGAAGTAGCCTTTTCAGTTTAAGATCATACCATCATTGCTTGGCATTTTGCTTTCTTAAAACTGAAAACTTCTGAGGATTGTGTCTTTGCTATGAGTGTTGTGATATATTTTTGTCGCATTGTGAATAACTACTTAACTTTATTTTTTTTTTTTTAAAAAAAAAAATTTATAGAAGAAAAGAAAAAGTACCTATTAGTTTTTCCTTGTCCAAAGACCTAGTTACTAAATTGGCTTGTTTAGTAGATTCTTTTGATGCCTTGAGACACTAGTGTCAAATTGAGTCACTAGGTTGGTAGGTTTTGGTTAAGCTGGCTTTTGTCTTGGTTGATTCAGGAATTTTTTCATGTGTCGAGCAATCTGAATCAATAGTGTCACAACTTTTAGATTATTCTATCCCTATGGCTAGCTGGGTTGTCTCAGTATACCGCGATGAAATTTCCATCTCTTTGATGGAGTTATGATATCTAGTTAAGAATACTATACTTGTATAAATTCTCCATTATTTCTAACACGACCTCTTACTTTAAATATTAATTTCTTAGCTAGAGACATTAAGCATAGTGTTTAGCAAGTGAGGGGAAAGCTAGGATAGCGCCTATTAATGATAAAATTAGAGAAAGTAAGACTTTAGGTGGTATGGTCATATGCAACGTTGATCCGAAGATGCATCGGTTAGAAGAGGAACAGTTGTTTGCCTAGAAGGGAAGTGGCAAGGGAAGTGGCATTATGTGTATACTTTATAGTGGAAGAAGGGACTATTGCTTGCTGCATTGCATTGGTAAAATGCTTGGTCTCTTAAGCTTGGGTTAGAGTCTTGAGAGCAGCCAAATTATGAAATAATGCAAAAGTTAAGTAGTGTGCGTGCTATGACCAACCTCTCCCAAAGGAGAGGTTGAGGGTTCAAGACCTAATGGGAGCATGCAGTGGGTATACTTACCTATAAAAACCAAAAAAAAGGAATTTGTATCTGGTCCACCATTCCCAACCCCCTCAATTTGTTAGATTATTAGGACTTTGGTTAGCAACTTTTGGTATGAGACACAGTCTGTAATTTAAATTCTCAGTTTATTTGTCTTTCGACTCTTTCCAAAAGTTAGTTAGCGTTTGGTGACACCATTGTATCAACGGTTAAAATGAAGTTAATTCAACAGTTTCAAAAATGTTATAAAGTTGGCTACAGCTCACAAGTATCACAATTAAAGTAGGACTTATGTTTAACCATAGTACCTATCATATTTAGATTGCAGTGCATTCATGATTTGAATTCATACAAGCTGTTTAAGATTGAACAGCTAAGGTTTTGTTTGAGCAGAGAAATTGATTGATCGAGCCTACCGATCTGTGCATGCTGTCCTGGTTTGATCTAACCCTTTGGATTTTGTTTCATAATCCGTTTTAAAATTTAAAACCCTAATTGTTCTTACTCAAAAAGCTATCTAAACACCCTCAAAGCCTAAACGAAAATCTTGAAGACTAATAGAGCCATCTAGTGGTCTTAGAAAGCATAAGAGCATCTCCAAGAGCATATTTTCTTATTTCTGTCGTCTTGCATACTTGCATTTCATGGAATTATATATTGAATGTTGATTCAATAACCCAAAAGCTTCGAGGATAACATGTTTACACAATCGAAGAACAAGAGTTTGGACAGCTACAGGGGAGAACAACCATAAAGGAAGAATTGATCAGGTAAGGGGTAGATTCGTTTTTCTGAATTGCAGATTGGAGACAATTCCTTGCTAGAGTGGAGCTGAGCCTGTGTAGGGGTAGATTCGTTTTTCTGAATTGCAGATTGGAGACAGTTCCTCTCTAGAGTGGAGCTGAGCCGTGTAGGAGAAGCTCCAGCGAGTGATTGCTTTAAGTGGGCCATCGTTGACATCATGCGGTTGGGCAAAAACTAGACAAAACTGTGATATAATCAACTAATATAATCATATACTACGTTGGATAAATATAGGTACATACATGCTCTAGAGACGCTGCTGGACTTGAAATATTTTAGACTTTAATGACCTCTCCTGCCCTTGTTCTGGTTGCCACTCTCGTTCCTGCTATGTGACTTAGGGTATAACGGCTTATTTGCTTGAGGAAACCAATACCTGTAGTTACAATAATCCAATGAGAATGATTTTATAACAAAGCATAAGCATAAATGGCATTGAAGTTGTGGGTTATATTTTAGTATGTGGGATTAAAGGGTAGGAGATCGTTCTCAAGCAATAAACAGTTAACTGGTTAACAGAAAGTGGAAACTGCTGAGACTCGCAATTAGTATTTATTCTACATAGAGCTGTAAAACAAACCAAAGTACCTAAACTTTGCTCAGGTTTGGCTTGAAAATAGCTCATTGGAGCATGCTCAGTAACTCAACCTATCTTTATCTTTATCTTTTTTACCTTTTTTTTTATAATTTATTTATAGTTTGAATGCAAGCTTGGTACAAACTCAAGTTTATCTCAAACAAATCATTGGTATACTTAAACTAAGTAAAAGCTCAGTACTTGTTTCCAGTTGCCACATATTTTTACCCTTTAGTTTTAAAGTTTTCAGTTTTTGTCTAGGTATCTGAATGTAGGATAAATTGTAACTTCGAGCTTTTCAATGGTATTTTGGGACCACTCTAAATTTAGATTTGGTGAAGTGACAAGTTGTTACAAGGGGTATTTGTCCCACATCGGATCTGGATGGAAAAGTGAATAGGTATAAATGGGTGGGTATGCAGTGCTACCCCAATAGCTTAAGCTTTTGAATAAATGGGCAAGCGTTCACCCGTTACAGTTAGTATCAGAGCCAAACTCAGACTTTGATCCGGTGCCACGCTAAGCGCCTTGCCCGGGAGGCGTCCGGTTGAGCCACCCGGGTAGGTAGGGTGGCCTACCCGCAACGAGGGCGTTGCGAGTTGGGTGTGGGAGAATGTTACAAGGGGTATTTGTCCTATATCGGATCTGGATGGAAAGTGAAAGGAGTATAAATGGGTGAGTATGCAACACTACCTAACAACTTAAGCTTATTGGTAAATGAGCAAGCGCCTATTTGTTACACCAGTCATGTTGGGCATGAAATAGACAACCACTTACATCTGATTAGCCCGTTAGACCACTTTTGTAACCGACCTTAAGTACTTCTTCAGTAAGATTAATAGTATTATATGATAGCTTTTTTGAAGATGTGCTTTATCCCTTGCTATGTAAGGCTTTTGTACTGTTTCTGATATTTGTTCAAAGTTCCCAGGAGCTTTTGACACAAATTAAGGGCAGGCCTTGGTTCAATGGTTAGGTTGTTCCATCATGACCTGGAGGTCAAGGGTTCGAAACAAAGAAACAATCTCTTTGTATAAGGATGGAAGGCTGCGTTCATCAAATCTTCCCTAGACCCTGCAATGGTGGGAGCCTTGTGTACTGGGTTTATCCTTTTAACTTCTGATGCGAACTGCGCCGTTCACTATACATGCTTAACAAGCTGAGCTGAGCTGAGCTTGAAAGCCTCATTAAAAGAGCACAAGTTGAGCATATTCGTTAGAGGCTATGTTTAGCCGAGTTCTGGCAAGCTTGAACGTTTCTCTTGTACTACCAAGCTGGTTTGATTATCAATTTTTTTATTGTTTATTCCCTCAAGGCTTTAAGCAATTGATGCTAATTGCTCCTGAATCTGGTTAAAGATTTTCCATTATTTTCATGAATAGTCTCTATAATTCCAACTGATTGGCCTTGATGTAATATGATTAGTTAATAGCTGCCTATACAATTGTATATAAGAGTGATACTACTACTTTTGGTTCAAACATGTGTTATTGGGATCATCATACTTGCTCTTTTCATGATACTTCTGAACGGTTCTTTTGTGGGTGACTCATATTGATAACTTGCTATAATGTTATAATTTCATCGTTTACTTGTGCTTGTCTGTTTTTATTATGTTATACTTGTGCTGACTCGATCTTTCCTTTTATATCCTCACTAGATTCTTTTTACTTTTTTGAGTTATAGTGATGTAATTTAATGGACATTGTTTTTTCTTTTCACGGCTACTCAAGAAGCTGCTTGACCCTGTTGGATCTATTGACTTACTAGTGTCTGTAACAGTTCCTCTGTAGTTGACTCAATTTTTAAATAATCAGAGTCTTGAATTGGTATTACCTTATAATTGCTCTTTCCTCATTTACTCGAGCTTGCTGTATTTTCATGATGTGAATTTTAAAGCAAGCCAAGAAGCATATTGGCCTTAAAAAACATGGTGCCTTTTCTGTTATTTTCCTATCGGAATTTCTCAATATGATCTATTTTCCTTTTTGTTTAGGGCACAAGGACTACAAGAACATACAGGTCTGATGTTCGAAATACCAAAGATAGAGATCCAACAGAAACCCTTCATGACGGAGTTAAATTGCCAGGACAGGATTTCATCGTGACAGAGATCGCTGCTCATCCTAGGCACAGTAAGCAAATGAAACCTCATCAGATTGAGGGCTTCAACTTTCTTCTTAGTAACTTGGTGGCAGATAATCCGGGTGGTTGCATCTTGGCCCATGCTCCTGGATCTGGAAAGACATTCATGATCATAAGTTTTATGCAGAGTTTCCTGGCGAAGTATCCCTTTGCAAAACCACTGGTTGTACTACCAAAAGGGATCTTGCCCACATGGAAGAAAGAATTTCTGAGATGGCAAGTTGAGGACATTCCACTGCTTGATTTTTACTCTGTCAAAGCAGATAATCGAACTCAACAGCTGGTTGTGCTAAAACAGTGGGTTGAGCAGAAGAGCATTCTTTTTTTGGGGTACAAGCAGTTTTCTACTATTATATCTGACCATGACACCAGCCCGGCAGCTACTTCCTGTCAAGAGATATTGTTGACGTGCCCTTCAATTCTTATACTGGATGAAGGTCACACTCCTAGAAACGAGGACACTGATGTATTGAACTGCCTTAAGAAGGTACAGACACCGAGGAAAGTTGTTCTGTCGGGCACGTTATATCAGAATCATGTCAAGGAAGTCTTCAACATTTTAGATCTTATCCGTCCCAAGTTTTTGTACTTGGATACTTCTCGTGCTATTAGGAGGCGCATCCTCAGCTATGTAACAATATCAAATAATGTAAAGTACTTCAAGAAGGGTAAAGAGAATGCGTTTTTTGAATTGGTAGAGCATGCATTGCAGAAGGATGAAAATTTCAAGACAAAGGTGACTGTCATCAAAGATCTACGGGAGATGACAAGCAAGGTTCTTCATTATTACAAAGGGGATTTTCTTGATGAACTACCTGGACTTGTGGACTTCACCGTCTTTCTTAATCTCGCCCCCAGACAAAAGCATGAAGCTGATGAGCTGAAGAAGCTGGGGAGAAAATTCAAGATCAGTTCTGATGGAAGTGCAATTTCTGTGCACCCGCAGCTGAAATACCTCACAAAGAATTCTTCGGTTAAGGACAGAGTTGATGAGGACAAGATTGATGAGATGTTAGAAAGGCTGGATATTAAGGAAGGAGTCAAAGCCAAGTTTTTTTACAATCTGTTGGGCTTATGTGAGTCAACAGGTGAGAAGCTGTTGGTTTTCAGTCAGTATCTCTTGCCCTTGAAGTTTTTGGAGAGATTAGCAGTGAAATACAAGAGTTGGAGTCCTGGGAAGGAAATTTTTATGATTACTGGTGACTCAAACTCAGAGTTCCGAGAGCAGTCAATGGAACACTTCAACAAGTCCCCAGATGCTAGAGTCTTCTTTGGGTCCATAAAAGCATGTGGGGAAGGAATTTCTTTGGTGGGAGCATCACGCATTATAATTTTGGATGTTCCGCTTAACCCCTCTGTGACCCGTCAGGCAATAGGTCGTGCATACAGACCAGGTCAGGAGAAGAAAGTATATACTTATCGCTTGGTTGCTGCCAACACACCTGAAGAGGAAGACCACTCCACTTGCTTCAGGAAGGAATCCATTGCCAAAATGTGGTTTGAGTGGAATGAGTATTGTGGTGACCAAAATTTTGATGTTGAGAATGTTGATGTGAAGGACTCTGGTGATGCGTTTCTGGAAAGTGGGTTGTTGAATGAAGATGTGAATGCCCTATTCAAAAGGTTCGTGAAAATTCATAATTTTTTGCATGTTTAATTTATAGGTTTACAGTGACTTAGTGAATACCTTTACTTGATACTTTTTCAGATAAATGGGGAAATGGTGCAGAGGCAAGGGGTAAGATGTAAAGTTTTGTCTAACCGACGTGCAAACCTTTATTTTGTTCCGAGAAAGGAGTCCCATAGGCAGTGTATGCAGGTTGGTTTGTAACTATGTCGGTTTTAGATGTGTGTTGGGAATGAACCTGAAACTGTAACCCCAACTAAGATGATCACTGGATCTTGTGAATATTGCTGACAATGGGTTCTGTAACTATTTCTGAATTAGCTGTGTTTATAGATCTTGCCTTTGTATAGGAAACAAATGCAAGTTTCAAATTTTGAATTGTAGATATTTACTTTATGAAAAATCATGCTTGCAAGATAAACTGTTCTGTGATTCGATGGACAAACTCTCTCTTGTCACATTGGTTGTACCAATCTGTATTTGGTTATCCCTTGTGAATTTGCATCACAGAAATTATAATGGTCTGTGTAGAGAGGGCTTTTTCTCTCACAATGGTTTCGTTGTTGTGTTGATGGTTAGAAGCCCTAAAAAATTGAACATGACTACAGGCTGCCAGTTAACTGGGAAAAGAATATGGGGAAAAGAACTGGAATTTGATATTTGAATGTGATACTAAATGGCTGTGTTCAGAGCAGACCTTAGTACTCTGGTATTTGGACTGCAATGGGGTGAGTGGGATCGGATGCTTGATTCAAAGAGTCATTTTGTTGCGGGAGCACTTTAGTTTTATGTCTTCAGCTTATTTGGTGTTGATACTTCTTTTCCCATCTTTACTAGAGCTGGTAGGAATCCACAAATGCTTGTAGGATGAAGCAGTACAAGACAGTTTTCTTCAGGTAATTTATGGCTTCAGTATATCTCCATGACACCTTTTCTGATTGACTACCCGAGGACTTAGAGATCCTCCAGAAAATAGTATTATCTATTTCTCTGAGATTCAAGGTAGCTTTGAACTATCAAGTTCCATCAAAAAGAGACCTCATGCCTGTAGGTTTGTTGGCCAGACCTCGCAATGGAGAGCGCCTTGTGCACTAGGTTTTGCCGTATGTTAAGCTCGTTAAGAACGAAGAAGTATGAGGCTGTAGAGCCCCAATTTTAATCACATTTTGAAAATAAAATGATTACATGATTTAAATGCTTTGCACATAATATGTCATTCCTTTTCCTGGAGATGGGCTAGGAGCCTAGAAACCTAATTCATGAAACAATGGCATATGGTTATTTGATCAATAAACACTAGACATGATGATTGAGGGTTTAGAATCAACACTGAAAACAACTTGAACAAAATAAGAAATTGTAATTGCATCCCATGGGAACGAAAAATATAGCGACATTCAAACAAACAAATAATACTGCTATTGTTGACACTGAGCATCTAGGAACAAGCACTAGGTTCACAATGATGATCACTACCAACATGAATATTATTATTACAATCAAACAATTCCTACTATCTTATTTCAAATGAGAAGATAATCCTTTTCTTCACTACCAAAGTTGAAAGTAATTTACAAATTCTCTCAACATGTTCAACAAAAAAAATGTATTATCTTTACAAATATGCTAATCTTCCAACCAATCTTTTCTTATAATACAACTGTACTTCACATAAGTATTTTCATATTCAGAGGGAATAAGCTTCATCTTTTACCATGTCACGACGTGAGACGTCCCGCGTCTAATGGTTCAAAGCGCAGCTATTACACTCACTAAATTTTGCCCCCTTAGGAGAGCTTAAAATTCACCAAAATACATTGCCAACAAGCATTTTTCATGCTACAAAATCATGTAACAGATGGGAGGAGCCAAACCTATGTTGCTGGTTCCCAGAATCCATGCAATCAAAATCAGCGGTCTCAGACCCCACGAAAGAAGAAGTCACATTGTAAACATCGTCCCCTCTCATGGTCACAAAGCTGTTATGAGCACCAACATTCATTGGTAGACTGCCTTCCTCACAGTGCTGCAATCCCAGTGTCAGTGACACTCCATTTCCACTCCCGAACCTTCCCAACTCCGACATGTGAAACGCAGAAGTAGCTGCCATGAATCTCTCATTATTTACATTAGACTGAACGATTGTATCCTGGAAAAGACTATAGTTATCCTCACCAGGCCTTCCCTCCACCCTCGATTTCACCACTCCATATTCAATTTCAGTTTCTCCACGGGTCCCATTTTGCAAATTGGCAGAAGAATTGGGTCCTTTCATTTCAGTATCAGGAATATTTTGGTCAGGCCGACGACGCTCGGTTGCCGTGGAAGATGCACTTTGTTGAAAATCATCCCCTCTATCCTCAGAGGCCTTGACATCACTATGTGTTGCTTTGGGTGCAATTTCAGATGAGGAATTAGAGTCCATCTCAGCATCACCAATTTCTTCTTTGTACATCTCTTCAACCATGGGCTTCCAGAGACGCACCCGTGCATTTATAAACCAGTTTGAGACCTGAGCCAGACAATATATATGATATATATATTTTTTTTGATAAGTAAAATTGTATAAAAAAGTGCTCGAAAGGGGAGCGAAACCCAAGAAAGTACAAAGGGCCACAAAGGACCTAAGCCTTCAAAGAGGCCAAAAAATCAACAAGGATGCACCATAAATTCAGATATTGTTTAAAGAAGCACAACGTACATACTCTCTTGTGACAATGAGAATTGAACTTTTTTCACCGAAAAGAAGAAGAAGAGATGTCGCTTTATTTATTTATTATTAATCTCTAACAGGCATTGCTTTCTGCTAATTCATTTTGAACATTTCTTTCTCCAAATTTCTACTGAAGTCTAGCTGTATGCGCTATTACTAACATCCTGAAATTTTCTCTATATTCTGTAACTAATACCAAATTTATCATCTCTGGTGATAAATAAATCCCGAAATGTGAATTACACTATTGTTTATGTAGAGACATTCAATAGATGCAACAAAGGGGAGAAAGGGAAGACACATTAAACTTAACCAACTGGGTGATCCTACATCTGCCTCAATGAGCACAAGAACCTCAGGATTTATCTTGCACGTAGCAAAAAAAACATTACCTGACTTCTTGTCAAGCCAGTCTGCCTTGCCAGCATGATCTTATCAGAATCTTTTGGGTAGCTGGAGAACAAAATTACCAGTTAGATGAATTGACGAAGAACGATTCAAGCGACAGAAAAAATTACGATGATAAATGTAGGGAAACTTACGGATGAAGGAAATGTTCAAATAGCCAAGCACGAAGAATTGAAACAGAGTTTTCAGGCAGTCCCCTTTGTGGTCTCCATGCGTGTTGTTGCATCATACCAAGCTGCTGAAGTGCTCTCTGTTGCCTGAGCTGCTGGTCCACATAGCGGAGGCGAGTTATTCCAACCCCTCTACCATTTGCGGTAGCATCTTGCTCCCCGAGGCTTCTCCGAGTTATCCGAATCTGGTCTGTTATTGCATCACGCAAGCAACGAAAGTGGCGGGAAATTGTCTGGAGGGCAAGTGCTGTGTACGGTTTTGCTGCACCACAACCTGCTATCACATCAAATGATGATACCACGATCTGCATCTGATGATAATACTGTTTGTACCTTCTATCAACCTGTGAGAATAGAATGATCATCATTATACCTCAAAACAGAAGTCGAATTCAATTTCATTTGAATAAAACGTAATAGATGCATAAAAGACAGTGAGAAGGCCTGGCACCCTCACCCATTAGTTAGGTTGTACAATAGCAGGAATGCTCAACCTTTTTATCTGTAGACATTAGATTGTGGTGGTCTGGGATGCAAACTATTCTTCACAGAGGGAGAATTATGCCTCATTTAAAAGATGAAGACTAAAACTTCTTAAATTACAAAGATGCCAACAAAATTAATTGAAGAAGGTCCAAAATTCATAGAAAACATCTTATACAGCCATTTTCATTTAGTGCCTTTCTCGTGTAGTGTGTAGAAAGATGGTCGTAAGGCGAGTAAGTTTTGACATCACTAAGGGTCCCTGTCATTGCCAAAAATGGCCTCTAGCATGATAACAATAGTGGTTAAGTAGAGAAGAATTAACCAAGAAAAAGAAAAAGAAAAACTAATATAAAAATGATAGACAGTACTAATCATATGTATATTTCTGATAATGTGCTACAAGTTACATGAGTCAAATGGTCTCTGACATTAGCAGAGCCCCTGTGAATGTGGGAAGCAAAATTAAATTGTTCCAGTAGAAACTCTCTCTTTAAAGAGACCAAGTCTTGTATTAGAATTTCTCATCGATGCTGCAACAAACTTAAGCTCAGGATTATGCTTCACAGTTACCAACTTCTAAAGGCAAACTTTATGAACTAGAGCTCAACATATGAAAATAGATCATCATCTACCTATTACCTAAACAAAACCATTTTTGTAGCTCTATCCGTTCCCTTAATCCACTAGTGAAGAGGCAGACAAAAGACATAGATCACCTACCTGTTTGCACTTTTAATGGACTGAAATGAACACTAAACATTATTTCTTGTTCTTGGTAATGATTTTTTCAATTATGCAGAATGTGAATGCATTGATTGTTGAGCAGAAGGTAAATATCCCTCTATCTCCAGGAGAACACCTGATCATAATCATGCTATCTCTTAAATTATTAAAGCGAAACAATTTCATATCCAGTTCAATTTTGCCCTGTCAGACAGAAGTCAAAAAGATGACACCCAAGTACCAACAAAGGAAAAAAAGAACTGCTAGTGGATCTCTTGAAGGAAACACAATCTAGTCGATCCTTGTCAATACCTCATACCATTCAGAAACCTTCCAATAACAGGTTTCTGACAAATTCTTTCAATCTTCACACCAAAGGACTTTGGAAAATAATCATCCTAGATTAGCACTACAAGTCTTGGTGTACACTTGGTAAGTCATGCTTTAAATTAACAGATTAAGGTGTTTCAAACACATACGTTGTGCATGTGCATGCACAAATGCATTTTCAATAAATAATTGCTATTGTGTAGTTTTTGTTGATTTTCCATCCTGCACCTAGATTACAGTTATCCAAGTAACAAAGAATAGTTTGGTAGCACTAAACAACTGGTGCTGAGTATCAATGCAGTAAATGTTCACATCATTGGATACATTTCTCAATTCCAAAACCTCGTGAAAGCGTCATGAATGACAGAATTCATGTTAAAGACTTTTTGGCAGAAGGTTTCAGGAAATTGGAAGAGGAGGAGGTGAGAGCAATACTTGACAGATTCAACACATAAGCAGCATCCAAGTATTGGTTAGCGAGACGGGATAATACTGTAGTTCCAAACTGGAGGGGAAGACCATCATAAATTTGAAAGCTAATCAGTTGATTCAAACTCTATGCAACTTCATATCAAACTAAATTAGCATAGAACGTGCCTCAAAAAGTCTACACGAAGCTCCCATTTCTTCTCGCAGGCAAATGTCAAACAGAATTAATCTCATACACTTCAATAACATAAGAATAAATGCATTCAGAATTGAATTTGGTGCCAAGTGCAGAAAAAAGGAGGATCACTGACGATAAAAAAACTGAATAATAATTAAAAGAAGAGAGAAAACTGCCAATTGAAAACTTAAAATAATATTAGCACTTTTACCTCGTCCAACATGGACAGAAGCTTCGTCATCTTGTTCTGCAAATCCTGTTTTTCAGCAGCTGAAAGCTCACTTGGGGAGTTGCTAGTTGACTCTTGAGGATTTGAAGACCCTCCAGTATCAGGAGGCAATGCAGTTTCATTCTTTGAACCCCCATCAACTTCTCCGGAACCCTTCATTAGGTCCTTTCTAGAATCCTGATGCTTCAGAGCTTTCCGGACATTAACAACTTCATCAAGCAACTGCTGAGCTACCTTTAGGTACTTGGAATTGGGAATGGTTCTAGCAATACTTGACATTCCATATGGGGACATATCTGCTTTGATTGAATCTGAATTACCTCCAGGAAAACCAGGTGGCAAATATTCAGCATATCTTGACTGTTTACTTTGGGAGTTCTCATCATCTTTAGACGAACCGTTCCTGCCACTGCCCTCACCTGACACTGAAGGATTAGGACCCAAGAACGAAGAGAAACCCAGGTTAGGATTCCGATACTGGATAGAAGGCATTTGCATTCCAGATGGGATTTGGGTACCTAGGCTGAGGGATAATCCCTGACCCTGCAAGTTATGCCCACCTTGAAGAATGCCAGTGTTGCCACCCATTGGGTGCATAAATAGCATCTCATTCCTGCCTCTCCATGTATTGGGATCATGCTCCACTATTCGTGACCCTTCAAGATTTGATAAAATTTCTTGCTGTGGCGGGGTGGGATCCGAAGGCCCCATAGATGGGATATCAATGCAGCTGTTCTGCTGCTGAGAAATCCTAGCTAATGAATCAGAGTATGACCCCGAAGAAGATGAGTAGTTCATGTACATCATCATATTACCGGAAAGAACCGGTGCTTCTGAGAAACTTGGCAAAGGTTCCCTCATATAAAGGGTCGTTGCAGCATCTCCTTGGTTACTTGAACTGGGGAAATAAGTAGCCATCCTTTTCTCTGTCAATCTCAGAACTTTCCCTCTCAGGATTGCAAGTTGAGTTACCTAATCACTCCGTGAACTTGAATCGACCAACATAAATGATTATCAGTTTCTAATTCAAGAGAATTAACAAAAATTACGATAAATGATTATCATAGGCATCGAAATTATAATTTTTTTCAAAATGATTCCTACTCTTGCTGGAATCTTAAAAGTATCAATTATAACATATGTTACAAGTCCCGGCGTCTATTAGTAAAATTATTGGATTTTGATCCAAAACAAATTCAAGAAACAACTCATTAAAACACAATTTCAATTTTATAATAGTTATTTCATTAAAATGAATAGAGAAGCAATTACTGGTGGCTCAACAAGTTCGTAGATATAATGAAGTCGATTATAGAGCACATGGAAGGACACAAGAACAAAAGACTCTGAACATGCACAGAGCTATCTGCTCTGCAAACACATGCACCTAATATGATTGTTTTTAAGATTTTTGAAAAAAAAGAGAATTTGTTTTCAACAAGCAACAATTAGAAATCACAATATATGAATCACCAAAAAGAACCCTTTTATTGTCTCTTTCAGTAAAGAATAACAAAATCCTCCATAATTCAGTTTCTTCATCAAAAGAAACAAATTTGAAGATTAATTAAACAAGTAAAGAAAGTAGCAATAGTTATGTTACCCAAAAACCCTTGAAAAAATAAAATTAAAAGTAAACCCAATAATTACAAAAGAAATTAATCAACTTGATCTTCAGAACCCAAGGGGAAAAAAATCTATATATATATATATATTCATCAATAAGAATTGGGAAAAATAAGAGAAATAAGAAAGATAAGAAGAAGTGAGTAATACCTATAACTCAAAAACCAATACACACAAAACAATCAAATAATTTACTCTAGACCAGGCATCTAGAGAGAGAGGAGAGAGAGGTGAAACATTTCTCTTTCTCAGTAGCTAATTAGAAGATAGTGAAAAAAAAAGTAAGAGATATAAATAAATAATATAACTAATAAAATACCAGAAAACCAGTAACAATTGTGTGTCTTGTGGGGAACAGAAGAGCTCCGATCCGCCGAGACAATCCTTCTTGAAAGGAAACACACCGATCCCAAGACCCAAAAATCATCTCCTTTTCATTCCAATCCCTATCTCTCTCTCACACAATCTACCAATTCAAACATATATAATAATAAAAACCCAAAAAAATATAAACTTTTTATTTATATATATATATATATACATATATTCAAGTATTAAAGTTCAAAGTACATAAATCATCATCCTTTTACCTTTTTTTCATATCATATATTCTCTATCCATCATTCCTCCAACACCCACGTGAGACTTACATACACAAACAGACCCATCTCTCTTTCTCTCTCTATATCTCCATGAAAACTCCTCTAAAGGTCTCTTTTTTATCTGAAAAACTCAAACCCTTTTTCTCCAAAGAAATCATAAGTTTCTTTTTCTATCTCTCTTTTAATGCTTTCTCTTTCTAGCTTTGCTTTGCCTTTCTTTCTAGTTGTTGTTGGTGTTGCTGTTGCTTGACTTGGTTCCTGCTGTTGATGATGTTTGGTTAAGGAGCTCAATCTCTAACTACCAGTTGGTAGACCTAAACCTCCCTTAAACCTCCCCATCTCTCTCTCTCTCTCTCTCTCTCTCTCTCTCTCTAACCTCTGAATTTCTCTCTCATCTTCCGCATGGATGGCGAGTTCTGGGTTTGCAGCAATATCCACCATACTTTTATTTTATTATTTATTAATTAAATTTTTTGCAATAAGAGGTGCCCACATGACTACGTATTTGTATTGTGTACCCGAATAAATATATGACATATGTTTGTCTTCTTGTTCCAACTTTTTTTCAATGGGGCTCTTTTTTAGTATATTGACATTTATGCCCCTACATTTGAGTAATTTTTATACCTACTATTTTTATTTGTTGTTCTTGTTTATTTGTTTTATTATTATTTTTTATAATGAGAGGTGCCCACATCACTACGTAATTGTATTTTTTTACCCAAATAAAGTATATGATATTAATATTTGTCTTCTTGTTCCAATATTTTTTTTCCATGGGGCTCCTTTTTGGTGTATTGGCATTTCTGCCCCTGAGTTTGTGTTATTTTTATATCCACCCCACAATTATTCATGCTCTTTGGGTTATGGCATTGTGGTTTCTATTTTTCTCTTCTAGATGAATAATTACCAATTTTCCTATGTTATGATGGGCATATTCCATGAGAATGGGACATACAAACCGACTTTGCGTGCCTAACTCATTATTATAAGACTAAATTTTCCATTGTGATTTTATACTTGTTTTGGAAGTTTTTGATGGCTTTAGCCTTGGTGTTAAAGTCATCATTCCATTTATAATGTAGGGTTTGCCCTTTTAGGGTTCATGAGTGTGGCACAACTCTTTGAAAAAGTAACACAATAGAATCATTTTATGACTATTTGTGTTGGTTGCATAATTCTACTTTGTGATTATACTCTCTGTGTAATTATGTGAAGATTCTCAATCGAGTGTTCAAAATCCCTTGGTCACTTTCATGAAATTTTCTCGGTAATTACACAATATATGTGAGACGGAATTATATATAATTGATTATAAATTATCGAGTGTTCTAAGAGATCCGACAGCATCGTCACCGAAAAGAATAATATAAAATAAAATTTCTTTACAACCTAACCCTTTTTGCATGGCATTGTATCTTCTCCAAATTTATTCATGATGCAATAATAGACTTTAGTTCCTTAATTAAGATCACAAGCTCCTACCAATTAAGCCCCGCTGGCTTTGAATATGCAAAAAGTTATCATTAATTAAGCTCTTAGAGGAGGATTTTCTCTTTTCATTTTTTTTAATTATTTTTCCAAGTATAAGTTAGGGTAGTCCTATTCTTGAAGCAACAATGGTTGCTTCCACAATAATATGTATTAATATATGAAACAAATGGTACAACTACTGTTACTATGAAATCAATAATAATACTTTGCATGCAATAAGAAGAATCCCAAAAGTTATTGGTTAATTCAATGAACTCTTTAAAAGGCCAGTTCATTCTTCTTTGTATCAGTCAAAAATTAATAAAGTCTTCATTTAATTACAGCTGATATTAATTAATCTGTTATATCCTCCTCAACAAAGTACCACACTTTGATTAATATGTACTGCCTACATTGGTTACTCAATTAATGCGTTCGTATTATGTGTATGAAGGGACAAATTCTGAGTTCAGGCTGTTGCGAGGTCTTAGAATCGATAAATTTATTCACAAAAAACAGTTTACTTCTAATTTACAATATAGATGTTTTTAATTTATAAAACGAAGAGATAATTAAGAGAAATCTGATATATTATTGATAATTGAATGAATAATTCTAATATCTGTATTACACATATTTATAATGAAAGAAAACTCAAATCCATAAGGAGACTAATTGCAACTTGAATCCTTATAACACAAAGAACACTAATTAATCCCGAAAGGATACTAATACTCGAAAATAAGTTTAAAAATAAAATTTCTTTAAAAATTATTAAAAACTAGAGAAAGAAACCTAATAAAATAAAACTACTAAATATAAAATATGAATGCAATACGAGTTCGTTTAGACAACGAACAAAAAATTTCGAAATATTAGATAGGGTTCTTTCGGCTTGAAAAAATTCCGTTTTGAGACCTTAAATAATGGTATTTCGCCGAAAAGCACGTTACATCATGACATAGCCGTGTATCTTGTTCGTTGGGCCGTTTCCAGTCAAAAAACTCTCATGTCGGGTAAAAAACGCACACTTCGGGATCAGCTCAGAAGATCTGTCAGCATGCCCGTTTAGCCTTCTGGAAGTCTACATCGTACATAGTATTCTTACGTAGAGAGATTATTTCTATGGCGACCTTGTGGGCGAGTATGCTGTGAACGGTTTCAAGTAACATTGGCAGACTATCACACTAGGGTATGGTATGTGTGTCACTCTAGTTGATACGAGGTATTTTGACGTAAATCCAAAAGCAAAACTATGCGAACTCTGGTCCAAAGCGGACAATATCATACCATGTGGTGGACTAGGTCATCACAAATGGTATCAAAGCCTGACCCAGTCGGAAGTGTGATCAACGGGACGTTAGGCCCCTAGGGGAGCTACAGCTGTACAATCCCATTTCGCATAATTTCTAAAGAAGCTACACCAAGAGCAAAACCGTGCGGGCTCAAACCCAAAGCGGACAATATCATACCATGTGGTGGAGTGGGTCGTTACAGTGGGATTGTGATGACCCTGTGGGCGGGTGCGAGAGATATTGACATGCTACCACACTGGCGAGTTATGGGTGCACAAGTCCTAAATCGCCCGGGAGAGGGAAAGGTGAAGTGTTTATATGTAGGTGTGTCACTCCAATTGGTATGAGGCCTTTTGGGGTGAAGCCCAAGAGCAAAACCGTGCGGGCTCAGGTTCAAAGCGGATAATATCATACCATGTGGTGGAGTGGGTCATTACACCCACATTACCCGGTGTGAAAAGGGAGAGTGCTATATAAATATATATATATGTAGGTGTATATATATATATATATATATATATATATATATATATATGTAGGTGTATCACTCCAATTGGTATGAAACTTTTTGGAATAAAATTCAAGAACAAAATTATGCAGACTCAGATAATAGCATATCATGGTGGACTGGATCGTTACAAATAATATTAGAGTCTCACCCAGCCGAACGTTAGGCTCTCCTAAGGGAGTTACATGTGCACAATCCCACGTCATATATATGTAGATGTGTCACTCTAATTGATATGAGACCTTTTGAGTAAAACCTAAAAACAAAATTATGCAAACTCGAGTCATATCATGCTATGATGGAATGGATTATTATAAATTTTTTATTTATTTTGAACTCACAAATTTTAAATCATAATAAAATAACTTCACGCTGTGCCAAAACTTGCTATGCTCTATGTATAAATACAAATATTTATCGAGAATTATTTACATGCCACTGCCCAAGGTTCCAACAAATTTCTCCTCTTCAATTTGAGGCAGTGATGGACACAAAGTACATCCTTTATTAATGAATTTACTTGTTATTGGTCAAAAAGATCGAGGGTCATTATCTTTTGATGGTGCAGAGTGGCAAAACAAAGCCATCTCATAATAAGTGGACCCCAGAAGCTGTATGGGGCATTTTGGGTGGTGGTGATGATGATGGTGGTGGGTCCATGTATAGCTGCAATTTGATCATGTGAGAAGAATGTGTTAATGATAAGCTGTATCAGCTGACATACTATGATCCCGACCTAACCAAGATCACCCCCCATCACATAGTTATTGGATTGTGATACGAAGCGATGCGGCTATAACTATTTTTATGCATTTTTATGTTGTCATATTTTTAATGATTTATTTTCAATTTTCTTGTCATACAAGGACTGAAAAATAATATATAATGGAATTTAAAAGAATTGGTCCGTCTTCTTTTTGTTGTTTTTTTGTTTAGTATGGTGGAAAACATTTTTCTTAAATGTGAAGAAACTCAGACAGGAAGTCATATAGTCCAATCTTTGGAGTAGTTAGATTTCAAGGTTCAGTGTTCCTTTAGAAAACCAAAACAATTAACTCACAATGATTGATCAATAGGAATTCCTATTCTTCTCTTCAAAAAAATTTCCATCTATTTATCAAATCTCAAATACAAATAAATATACAAGTGTACATTTGTTGGATATCGTTTCGAATTTATGATTTGCCCATGAGACTCCTTAATTACTGGGCCAATTTATTCAATAATTATTTTTTGATACCGGTTAGGGTGTAAAGTGCAACCGGTTAGATCGTTCAAGTATGAAGTGTAATCGATTGGACTTTGTTGAAAGCTAATTTTAACCTTTGCTCATCTATCAAACTTTAAAATAGTCACAAGTATTCCTTACTCATTTACTTATAGGATTATTATATATAAATAGTGCTAATAATTCATATTTATCATTTGATAGAGTCAAAGTCTCATAATTTAAAAAAAATGAAGACAAGAAAAAATACTATTTACCTTCATAGAGGTACCACATTTAGGCACATAAGTACCACTTTTTGTGTATACAGATACCATTTTTTGTCATCAGGTACCATATTTTGTGCTGCATAAAAAAATGATTCCTGATACACAAAAAGTGGTACATATGTGAATAAAAATGGCACCTCTATGCCAAAAACAAAAGTTGTATCTAATGTATAAAAAACAGTACCTATGTGCACAAAAAGTGATATCTTTGTGCCTAAAAGTGGCACGAGCCATTAGCATCATTTATATGTAAATATTCCTTTACTTATTTACTTATTCTAAATAATATTCTCAACAAATAAAAGACACTCGTGCCCCTCAGCTCCAAAAGACCGATACTCAAGATAAACAAAATTATAACTCCATCGTCAAGTTTTGACTTTAAAATTTTGTCAACATTACAAATTTATATCCATTACGACAAGTTTGCCTCTTATGTATTTAATAATGGTAAGTAGTAAGCACTTACATAGACACTTGTCATAAAACATTTTTAACTCATATACAATGCCCATGCCAACTAACTTATTTATAACATATGAAAGGATTATAACTAAACACATTTATGAGACGCTAAAAGTAACATTAATCAGTGATAAACTAATAGAAATTCCACTAATGATTTAATTAGGTATAACTAACGGACACCATTATTCAATTAAATAAT